AAGAAAATACAAATTTAATCAAAAGAAAGTCTTCAATTTTTCAAGGCCAGTCTGGCACTTCGTCTTGGAATCTTAAAACGGTCCCATGAGGGATCTCTCGCGCGATCAAGAAGTTTATGATCTAATTTTTGTGTTGAAAAACACTTCACTTCAATTTCTTCTTCCGAAGATTGTGAGCTTGGGAGAGTTTGAAATTGAACACACCCATTCTTAGCCAAAGCATCCTTATCTCGTTTTTTATCCACTAAAAGCTCAAAAATTTACCTAAAACGGACTCTCATACTCTTTATATAGAAAGTGTGGAATGTTGCGCTGACCGCTACACTAAAAGCAAATACTGAAAGTTTAGTTTAGTCTTCCGTCTTATAGGACTGGTAAAGTGCCACAGTTGATTGCACGGGTAGGCAGGCAGAATTGTTGACACCGCATCTTCGCGGCCCAAGATATATTATTGTAGACTCGAAGTCGTCAAAATTCATGGGGTTCATCTCTAGTTTAGTCGTCACAGGAGAGTATAAGAATTCCTTTGCTGCAAAGTCTCTACTTCCACCCTTTAGTCTATGAATTGCTCAAAAACTTCTAAAACCTTAAATAACCCTTCATTACGCCATCCTTCAGAAATTACAATTGATGTCCTATTAAAAGAATTAAACTTCTCTCTCACAACCAAAGAGAAGAAACCACCGCAATTGTTACATTCGTAACACATCGAATATGATATTGAAGGTTCATACATCGTACATTTTCTTGAAAGTGAAGATCCCCGTTCACTACAAAAAAATCACGGGATTGGCACACATTTGGCACGAATTTATAGATGATTTCATATCAAATAGCTCGTGTCAAACTGTTTTTGGCACAGATTTGACATATCCCTGCCAAAATCCCTGCCAATTTTGAGAAATCTCTGCCAAAAATCTCTGCCAATTCCATGTTCTTTTGTAGTGATTGTCAAATCTCATCAACGATTATATTAGCCAAAAAGCAGTTTCTCGTCTGAAAAAGATTTTCGATTAATACCCCTCTTAAATTCAGCAAGACAAATAAGAGACTTGACATAAGTAGGGGTGTAACAGGGATAGGTATGGAGTTGTGTAAGGTGCATGGGTTGTCCCATGACTTTCATTATAAGATGCAATAAGCGATACACTTGGCAATATGAAAAAGTTTAACATGTAGTTTAGAAAAATATGGAAGGGTGAGTGCTTACTAAGCAACACTGTAAGATCTAAAATGTTTTTTTTACTAAGGAGATATATATCCAAAAAATGATTATTTCACATATATGTAATCTTTTATTTTTATCAAAAAAATGTTACATAGTAAAAAAAATGATTACTTCACATGTGTTAATATACTAAAAGTTAAATTAACTGTGAAGTAAACATGTCTTAAGTTCATTAGATGCCGCAATAAGTTGGTATAATGAAGAGGTCTTAATATATTCATGCATTGCATTGATTGCATTACTCAATAGTAACCTACCACTAGATAGAAGGCGGTCATACTATGAATCAATCCATTGAGGAAAGCTATTTTGATAAAGGGCTTAGATATAATTAGAAAATTGAATTCAACTACGTAGTAGATTTTTTTAAATGCTTATGTAGCTAAATTTTGTAAATGCTTATATATATAAGTGTAATTTCAATTCAATATCAACCACCTAAATTCACTTTTATTGATATGTGTGTCACTCAACTCCCTTTGCACCATCGTTAATGGGTCGGAGGGAGTATTATATTTTGATATTATCAGGCTTTAATATGTCAAGATTTCCTTATATATTATAGAAATAGTAACATTATGTTTTAATAGTGTCATAAAAAAGTACATTTTATAATTTGTTTGTATCAAGAATATATTCCAAACCAATTGATACAACAAATAAGCTACATATAGAGCCACTTGATAAATCCTTCCATAATTTATTGGGTGATTGTCTTGATCGTTTAGTGAATAGGCACCCCAACTATACCTACAATTAGAAATAAATATACAAATAAAAAGAGTAGATACACTGATAGAAGATAAAATCTTAAGAAGTAGCATGGTTTATCTATCTAGATTAACACAACTTACAATCACAAAAAAGCAAGTTGTGTTCATCTATCTAGCTAGACCAACACAACTTAACCAGAATTGCCTAGGTGTATAATAAAATCCTCATAATTTTAGTACTCAAAGAGTAGTCTTGTTTAAATTAAAATGCCACTTTCATCAAAAGAGGTAATTCTACAACAATAGTATTGGAGTGCATAACATTTAGGCCTACCTGAAGTGCATCACATCACACAGATTCACCGCGATTTTAAACCCCTGCATAATAGTACAGGGATAATATTAAAAAAAAAACTTCGAAATTGGAAAAAGGAAATTTGTTAATCGTTTATACTTAATAAGAGGTACATACATAGCAATATAGCTTTTACACACTTTTATTCTAAGCTCAAATGAAAAAGTTAATAATCATATTTTTCAAGTTAGTTTGTGTTTATCTCAACAAAAATGTTGAATTAGTTATCTCAAACGAATACTGCAGCCCATAATGCATCTTGAAAACAGAAAATTAGGATAATGGTGTGATTTCAATTCACATATTCGTAAACTATATTACACAGAATTAAAAGAAAAGATACAAATTTGCTAAACAAATGTAGCAAAAGAATTTGCAAATACATTTGCTTTCGAATAAGAAAGACATCATTATCCAATTTTTGTTAGATTTTTTCAACTGTTATGTCTAAGGTCTATGCGTAGTCAACACAAAAGCTTCTAGTGAGAGGGAGGACAAAGAGTAGCATCATATTATGAGTGCGATGAATATGACCCATGAGTTATGATTCGAAGTCTTAAACTCCGAAAATCCGAAGATTCAAAGAGAGTTCCACGTCAAAGGAGTTTCAAGATAAAATTGGTGCGGCCGACTGAGCTCGAATTGCAAACTACCATTTAGCATATTAATTTATAAAATTAAGAGTAACATTAACACTATAACCTATTTAAGTAATAAACCAGAGTTGGGGAGTTTACAAAACTAAGACTAATATTAACAATAATTCAGAACAAAGTTGGAGACTTTAGTAGTTTACCATACATAATAATACTCTGCCCTCCCCTTTTCATTTCTGAAAATGCGTGGTGAATTTGGTTAGCTTTCTTTACAGGAATGCCGGATAGAAGATGTCAAGAGGGTCAATTAGAGATAATATTCTTCATCTAACCTAAACAATATAAGTGAATTCATATATGTAACATCAAATTGCATATCTATAAAAACCAACCTCAAGACCAACAAAAGAATGAATAATCCACTCAGGAGAGATAACTTAAGTCATAACTAAATTACTAATAAAATTAGCATTGCAAGTATTCATATATATGCAAAATATATGAAGTACTTAGTCTTATACCTTAGAATATAGAATAGAGGTTCTCAATTCATTTAAGAAGAACTCTTTCAAAAAAAAAAATATTTAAGATGAATATTAATCCATGATCAATAACATAGCGTAGTGGTCAAAATCTATATTAATTGGTGAAGTCTAACTTCAAATTGCTTATTAAAAATCTAGCTCAATACATTAAAAAAATAGAATAAAAATATGCAATTTTAACGTGTGGATTTTTGCCAGCGTATAAATCAAATAACATTGGAAACATCAATTGTTTTTGGTTGGCCTAACAACTCATGTTAGGATTTCAAGTTCATCGATAATGTATCTCCCATTTTGTCTGAGTTGGCTTAATTGCTTAAAGAAAACTCAATCTAGTGAAAAACTTATTTAAAAATATCATTTAAATGTTTAATAACATCTAGATATAGTACAACTAATCCATGTTTACTAAAATCTAAAAATACTCATTGAGAACAAAAAACTATGCCACTTTTAACTTAAGAAAGAGAAGATCTTTTTCAAGAACCATGTAGGTGAACTAAATTATATTTTCACTTCAAAATATGAAAAAAAAACAAATGTAAGTCATGTAACAGAGACATAACTGAATATAAATTATAAATAATAGTGAACCCTAAGACAATTCAACTTTCATATGTTCTTTAAGGAGTTTAATAGAATTGAAAACCCAACACCTGGAACTCTAACGATGGATACCTGTAACTCTTGTTCGATGTTTGTTATGTTTATACCAGCCCAAGAATTGCATATCAGGGTGGAAAATTTCTAGGTTACCTTACTAACATGTAGAACATAAGAAGAAAAATTTATGAGATTCAATAAATGAAGAAATACGATGAAGAAATGCTTGAGAAAATACAAAAAGAGCAATTTGTGATAGTGAGATTTTGATTAACATTATGTTTTTCTTAGTTGATTCTCCTTCTAGGAAGAACTTCCCTTAGTTCCCTTCAAAGAGTAAAAAGAGGAAACATACATACATAATAATATGGTTGGAAATACTTGATCTTCACAAAAGAAAACATTATTTCCGCATAACCGCATTTACCATGTCTGAAAGAATAAATATTAGTTTTATGTCGGCCTAATAACTACATCCATATAACTGCAAAACAGGGTGGAGGAACCCATATTAGCCTCTTACTCTCTACCTGTTTTCATTTAATTCAAAAATATGAAAAAATATTTAATCTCAGGTTTTAAAACTTTTTTTTTTTTACTGGTCAGGTTTCAAAACTTCATCGAATCAAACACATATATAACTTCAATATAAGTATACACATGTGAAAGACATTAGAATGTACTTTAGAATATACTTTAAAATATGCTTTAGAATATTCTTCTATCTTTAGAATATGCTTTATAATATTTTAGGAATATACTCTAGGATATTATTATTGTATAGAATCTTATAGGAATATTCTATCTTTATAACGCATATATATAGGGACTTAACCCTCCAATGAAATACACAGAAAATTCATTTCTCCTCTCTCTATTATTACTATAATTATTATTATTCTAGTTTATATTTCAACATGGTATCAGAGACATCCATTTGAGTTTATTTTTCAGATTTCAGCTTAGTTTTCAAACTCTGTTCTTTCTCCGAGAGCCTGAGTTCAGAACCTCTAGGTGCCATTTTGTCTCCCAGAAACTCAGTCCAGGATAGAACCTCTCTACACACCATCACCATTAAACAGAAACTCTATTCAGAACCTTAGTTCAAGCAAATTCAGAACCTCAGTATCAAGCAAACTGCACCATTCAGAATTTGCCAGGTGCCTAGGTCCGATCATCTTCCCGGCGAATTTCTGACTACACCATCCCTGTTGCCTCCGACCCGGCGTTGGAAGTTCGCAGCTCAAGTCGACGTCCATCAGCCACACGACCTCCAGAAGCACTCACTACAACAGGTATTTGATCGGAACTCTTCACAAAACCTCAAAGCCATATGTTTGTACACTTTACTTCCAGGTATTCTTCTCTCGTTCTTTCTCAAGCAAGAGACGGAATCTGACAGATATCTCTGTGGGATGGAGAAAGTCTTGTCGGTCGCTAGTATCTGGCATCGGATATCTATGGATATCCTCCCCTTCGATTGAGATCATATATATTTAGCGCATCCGTTTTCTTCCCCAGTCCAAGGACGAAACTTGAAGAGTCTGTAGCAGTAAAATCCAATTGATTGGTTATTTTATTAAAGTTTTTTTGAGCCCACAAACGAGAAGGTTGTTGTAAGTTTCCATTGCTATCTAAATTGTGAACTTAATTGCCAAAAAAATCAAAAAACATAAAAAAACAAAAAAAACAAAAAAAAAACAAAAAAAAAAGTCTTGTACGGGTCCACATGGCAGAGGAGTAATATGCAGTTACTGCAAGAAGCCCGGGCACTTGATCAAAGAAGGTAGGAAATTGCTATTCAAGAATCAAGGAAATCAGCTTTGTCATGTTGCTTCCGCTACCAGTTCATCTGATGGATCAATTGCTGTTTCTTCAGATGAGTATGCCAAATTTATTTCCTACCAAGAATTTCTAAAGCATTCATCCGTCCCTATCTCGGTAGTCGTTAATTCAGGTATTTCAAACACATGTCTTGTTTCCTCATCCTCGAAATGGGTCATTGACTCAGGTGCCACAGATCATATGCCTGGTAATCCTAATCTATTCTCATCATTTCATTTGTATTTACCTTATTCTAGTGTCACTTTAGGTGATGGATCTACCTCACCCATTCTTGGATCTGGTACTGTTATCCCAACTTCTACACTACCATTATCACCTGTTTTGAGTCTTCCTAATTTTTCATTTAATTTGCTTTCCATCAGCAAAATCACGCGTACTATTAATCGTTCTGTAACATTTTTCCTGGATATTGTGTGTTTCAGGATCTGTTAACGAAGCAGACTATTGGTAAAGGACATGAGTCAGCTGGTCTTTATATTTTGGATACATCAATCACAAAAGGTATCTCTTGTCTTGGGGTCGGGACTTTGTTAAAGGCTCATTACTCATTAGAACATCCATCTCTCCCATTAATGAAGCAAATAAATCCCCAATTCAATAACATGACCTCTTTACAATGTGAGACATGTCAATTTGCGAAACACCATTGTACTCGCTTAAGCCCTCGAGTTAATAAACGAGCAAATGCTCCATTTGACCTTGTTCACTCTGATGTTTAGGGTGCTTGCCCGATTGTGTCTAAAGGTGGTTTTAAATATTTTGTTACCTTTGTTGATGACTATTCTCGTATGACATGGTTGTATTTCATGAAACGTCGATCTGAGTTGTTCACTCATTTTTCTTCCCTTTGTGCTGAAATTAAAACTCAGTTTAATGTTCCTGTTCAGGTGTTAAGAGGAGACAATGCCCAAGAATATCTATCTGTTACATTTAGGTCATTTATGCTTCAGCATGCTATTATTCATCAAAGTTCATGCGTTGACACACCTCCCCAAAATGGGGTTGCAGAACGAAAGAACCGACATCTGTTAGAAACTGCAAGGGCTCTTCTATTCCAAATGAATGTGCCTAAACAGTTTTGGGCCGATGCTGTGTCTACTGCATGTTTTTTGATAAATCGTATGCCATCTTCTGTTTTGAATGGTAAAGCTCCTTATCATTGTCTATTTCCAAACAAAGAGCTTTTTTCAATCCGACCTAAAATATTTGGTTGCGCTTGTTTGGTTAGAGATGTTAATCCTCATCTTACAAAGCTAGATCCCAAATCATTAAAATGTATTTTCTTGGGTTATTCTCGAGTCCAAAAGGGGTATAGATGTTTTTGTCCGAGTACATGTCGGTATCTTGTTTCTATTGATGCATCATTTCATGAAAACACACCTTTTTCATCATCTAAGGCAGATATTCATGAGACTAATGATGATATACTCATTTACACGATAACTATTCCCGAGTCCACACTTTTGACAAGTATTCCACAAGTTACTGTTCCTGACCCTAGGCCTCCTGTACACTTGGTATACACCCGTCGGCACAAAGCACCTGATCACCCTCCATCGGTGACACCTGTAATTATTTATCCTGATACTAGTCTGACTTCGATCTCATGTCCTGAACTAGTACCTGCATCATTAGATCTTGTTTCTACATCAGATCTTGACCTCCCAATAGCACTACATAAAGGTACATGGTCTTGTACTCATCCTATTTCTTCATTCGTGTCGTATAGTCAGTTATCCCCTGCCTCATGTTCTTTTATTGCTTCCATTGATTCTATTTCTGTTCCCAAATCTGGTAAAGAGGCTTTGTCTCATCCTGAATGGCGTCATGCCATGATAGAGGAAATGAATGCTTTGGATCTTAATGGTACTTGGGATTTGGTAGACTTGCCTACGGGGAAAAAGTCTATTGGATGTAAGTGGGTCTTTGCTGTTAAGCTTAACCCAGACGGATCTGTTGCTCGGTTGAAAGCCCGATTAGTTGCGAAGGGTTATGCTCAAACCTATGGTGTTGATTATTCTGACACTTTTTCTCCGGTTGCTAAATTAACATCTGTCAGGTTACTCATTTCTCTCGCTACAACTCATGGTTGGCACTTACATCAGTTAGACATTAAGAATACATTCCTGCACGGTGACCTTCAGGAAGAAGTTTATATTGAGCAACCTCCGAGGTTTGTTGCTCAGGGGGAGTATGGAAAAGTCTGTCTACTTTGCAAATCTCTTTATGGTTTGAAACAGAGTCCCCATGCATGGTTCGGGAAATTCAGTCAATCAATTGAACGGTTTGGAATGATCAAAGGAAAATCGGATCATTGTATTTTACAGACGAACGAAAGCAGGTATCACATTGCTTGTGGTGTATGTTGATGATATTGTGATTACAGGGAGTGATAATGCAGGTATTTTGGCCCTTAAGAATTTTCTTCATAGTCAATTCCAGACGAAAGATTTGGGCTCATTGAAATACTTCTTGGGGATTGAGGTTACACGGAGTAAGAAAGGCATATTTCTATCTCAACGTAAATATGTGCTTGACTTGCTAACTGAAATAGGGAAATTAGGGGCAAAACCGAGCAATACTCCCATGATTCCCAATGTGCAGCTCACTCATGAAGGCGTGCCATTTGAAGATCCAGAAAGATATAGAAGGCTGGTTGGAAAGCTTAATTATCTCGCAGTTACCCGTCCATATATTGCGTACTCAGTGAATGTAGTAAGTCAATATATGTCATCTCCGACAGTTGATCATTGGAATGCTGTAGAGCATATATTATGTTACTTGAAGGGGACACCGGGATGAGGTATTGTTTATCAAAATCATAATCACATGAGAATAGAATGCTTTGCAGATACTGATTGGACTGGATCTAAAGATGACAGAAGATCCACATCTGACTATTGCGTCTTTGTTGGTGGTAATCTCGTCTCTTGGAAAAGTAAGAAGCAGAATATGGTTTCTCGTTCGAGTGCTGAATCAGAATATCGGGCTATGACACAATCGGCATGTGAGATAATCAGGATAAACCATTTATTGAGTGAAATCGGATTGAAGACACCAATGTCTGCTAAACTCTGGTGTGATAACCAAGCTGCTATACACATTGCCAACAACCTAGTGTTTCATGAGAGAACAAAACATATTGAGGTCGATTGTTACTTTGTTCGAGAAAAAATAAAACATGGATGGATCTCTACAGGATATGTGAAAACTGGAGAGCAACTTGGAGATTTGTTCACTAAAGCACTAAATGGAATTTGTGTTGGTTATTTATGTAACAAGTTGGGCGTGATAAATATCTATGCTCCAACTTGAGAGGGAGTGTGAAAGACATTAGAATATACTTTAGAATATACTTTATAATATGCTTTAGAATATTCTTCTATCTTTAGAATATGCTTTAGAATATTTTAGGAATATACTCTAGGATATTATTATTGTATAGAATCTTATAGAAATATTCTATCTTTGTAATGTATATATAATATAGGGACTTAACCCTCCAATGAAATACACGGAAAATTCCTTTCTCCTCTCTCCATTATTACTATTACTATTATTATTATTATTATTATTCTAGTTTATATTTCAACAACACATGTGATAGAAAAATAACGCAAAACAAACATCACGTAGTCATTAAGGCACGTACGTCATCCACCTCTCTTGGGTTGCAACACATGAGTGTAAATATGTTAAATTAGACACGCATATTGCAGATTCTAGCAATTATATTACGATAAAAGGGTACACTAAGAGATAAAAAAGTATGTCAAAGAAGCATTTAAGATAAATCCGGTTGGCCCTTGCACATCAGAGGGGAGAAAGACTTACCCATCCAATGTTAGCTGTTATATTCAAACATCAATCTCATAGAAATTTAGTTTTCTTAGTAATGGAAATTCTTTACTCCTGAAGTAAAAAAGAAATGGTGTTGAAACAAATACAGTAATAAATATTCTCAACTTACTAATTAAATCAAACAACTTAAATCAAGAATTGCATATTTAGTCGAACAAATGGACAAATAGATCTTACAGAAAAATAATGATCCTCAATCCTCCATCATCTGCTTCATGTCTCTAACTCCCTATTAGTTATTTATGTACCTCCAAAAACAGGGGGAAAGAAAAGAAACAAAGCAAAGATTCAATCCTTGAATTAAGCAAAATTGCATAAAATTCAACCACGTTTTCAATATACTGGAATCAAACATTTACTAATCTGCTTTCATATGTAATAACCCAAAATCAAAGCTTGCACTTGCAATGATGAAGAACAGAGACTGCATTAGGCGAGTGTTAAAATAAAAGTGTCGGTGTATTAATGAAATCGATACTTTTAGATTTTTAACAATTAAAACTGAAAGATGAAGGCTTTGGGCCATAAACCTAGGCGAGATTAAAGTGGTGAAGAGACTATGGCTGTTCGACTTAAAATATCTGAGACGGTGTCGATGGAGAGGTAGTAACTGAGTCGATTGTAACTGGCATAATGATCTAGAGCGATAGTTGTAATTGGGATAGTGGTCATTGAGATAGTTGCCATATGTAATTTTTATATATGAATTTCTATCTTCGGAAATAAAATTAAAATAACAAAATATTAATTTTTGTAGATTTATTATAGTTGCAGTTAACCGTGAGATTCTTTCCAATTTTATTACTTGTCAAGTCACTTTCTTGTCTTTTTATAATTAGACTCACTTTTGTGAAATTGAGCCTCCTAATAATAGTAATATCAGTATCCTTTCCCGTAAGGAAAATGATGACACCTATTCCCATTAGTCCCTGACATTTGTTGAACATTTATCTGAGCGGATGTAAATTGAATTAAGACATTGATTACAAAAAATCTAAGAATAACAAAATGAAATGTTTATTTTCAATTGTAACTAGTGTAACACCCGGGGCAATGCCCCGATAGTGTCATGTTAATATGAAAATAGTACTCCATCATATATGAATTGTGTAGTAAAAAAAATAGCACATATTAATATATGTTGTGAGTTCTTTATAGAAATGGTTAAGAACATTGTTTATGTTGAAAAAAAATATATTAAAGGTATATTACTAAAGTTTTGTTGAGAAATGAGAAAGTGATAAAATTGGTGGCTTATATTTATTATTATTATTATTATTATTATTATTATTATTATTATTATTATTATTATTATTATTATTATTATTATTATTATTATTATTATTATTATTATTATTATTATTCTTATTATTATTATTATTATTATTATTATTATTATTATTATTATTATTAGGCTAAAGGGTCAAATAGGTACATGAACTAACTTAAAGTGTTCAATTAACCCCTCATATAGGAGGTTCTGCTCGGACGTCGTCAATTGGGGAGGTTCCTGGTGGAATTTTTTGATGAAAATTTTTGAGCATACTCTTCATTAAGTCTAGTTTATCCATACCAAATTTCATCTAAAAATTAAATCGGGAAGGCAGTCAAATGATTTTTCAAAATGTACTGCGCTGTTTAACTGCGCAGTTATATTCAAAAAATCATTTGACTGCCTTCCCGGTTGAATTTTTAGCTAAAATTTAGTATGGATAAACTAGACTTAATGAAGAATTTGGTCAAAAAATTTGTTATTATTATTATTATTATTATTATTATTATTGTTATTATTATTATTATTATTATTATTATTATTATAAGCACAGTATTTTAAAAAAGTTCATAATGTGCAAAGTAACAAATGTAAAGTGAAATGAAAATATTCTTATGATAAATATCATACATTGATGTGCTTTATAGGAAAATCAAACATTTTGAAAGACTTCTTTATATACAACATTTGTTGTTGTATTGCACCCTTCTCCTCCACCCAACAAAATTTTCAACTCATTTCTGCTCTTGACTCTTGAAACTGCCACATATAATTGCCCATGCGTGAATACACTTTTTTCCAAATAAAGTCCAACATGTGCTAGTGTTTGCCCCTGACTTTTGTTGATAGTCATTGCAAAGCATACTAAAATTGGGAATTGTTTCCTCTGAAGTTTTATGTGCAACGTTGTATCTGTTGGGCATAGATTCATCCTTGGAATCAATATTTTATTCCCTTTGCTCGGTCCGGTGAGGACTTCGGCTTCCAAGATGCGTTTCCCCAATTTTGTTATCACCCCTCGTGTTCCATTACACAGACCTGTAGATTGATCAATATTGCGCAATAACATTATAGGGATACCTATTTTGAGGCTAAGCACATGATTTGGCAATTCGGATATTGAAATGTTGTTTAAATATTCCTGTGGATATATGTCATCATCGCCGGAACTACTTGCCGCAGTGGGACATATGTTGTCGTAGCTGAAATATTTTACCTCTTCCCCTGGTAGCATTGAAAGGATGTGGTTGTTTATGCCCTCTACTATTTCCAAAGTTGGTGCCAGGATCGCTCTCTCTTCCAAGTAGTCAAAATTTGTCAGATTGTTGTGCAAGTCTGGATAAGTACTGTCAACAATGGCTTTGAAGTTATCCCCATTCGAGTGGATCAACAAATCAGGTGGTATTTCAACTTCAATGCCTCTGTCAGACTCCTTACCGATAGTGACCTCACCAATCTGTGATATCCACCTAGCAAATCGCTCAACTTCTTCCCTATCCAGTATGTTGATTTGATGCATCAACCTCATGTTTATTGTGAGATGCATGACTTGAATATATACAATCCCATAAGTATGATGAGTTTATTGCCGACATGACAATTTCTTCACCCATGCCTTTAGGGATTACTGGTAGCGTCTGTCGAAAATCCCCTCCTAGAACAACAATTTTTCCACCAAAGGGCAACTCTTCATTCTTTGGATTTACAGATGAGCAAATATCTGTGAGTGTCTTGTCTAGAGCCTCAAAGCAATACTTGTGAGTCATTGGTGCTTCATCCCAAATGATTAATTTTGTGGCTATTAATAATCTTGATTTTGGACTCCCGCGCTTGATATTACATGTTGAATTTTCAGCAATACTCAATGGGATCAAAAACCTGCAATGAAGTACATAATAATATATATTAATGCTAATATATACTATGTATTATATAATTGGAGACTTAATATATACTACGTATTATCGGCTAACCATCTAAATAAATTTTAGAATTCCAATACCATACTAAACACATTGCAATACCATAGTATTTAAATTATTTCTCTCAAGGTCACGGTGCATTAGCTTTTTTTTTTTAACATCAGAGTGCATTAACTATTCACCTTAATTAGACCAACTTATTTACAGAAAAGAGAGGAGAAAAAATCTCTCATTTTAAAAGTGTTATTGTTTTTTTGAACTCCAATTTTTTTAATTTTTTTAATCAAAATCAATAAGTTCTTATGATCTATCATATGACATCAATATTGTATATGTATAAAAATCTGAAGATCCAATTGGTGGAGATTTTTAGGCCTAGAACTTTTTTTGTCAATAAAGCCCAAAACATTTTTAAGTAAATTCAAAACCTAAAATTAAGATTTCATAATTTATTTTTACATTTAAAGTCATTTTTTCAAAAAATGTCTAAAAGAGTACCTAATTTCTTATTATCTATTGTTAACCTACATAGTAAACTTTAATTATGAAATGCTATGAGTGACTCTCTTATTGACATCACATAATACATGTTAAAATTACTTTTACAACCATTGTTTTAACTCATTAAATGATATGACTCCTCATACAATATAAATAACAATTCATGCTTTTACATTACAACATTTAATTAATTTGTAACATCTAAATAATATGCTTAATTATTGATTCAATATGACCACAACACGCTTATATGGGATCGTATCAAGGAATCAACGCTGTTTTTTTCTTATTTCATTCGAACGTAAAATTAAATTACACCGCATCGGCTGCAATACACACCGCAAAGACTGCAATAGCCGCGAATGCGGTAACCGCAATTGCAATGCTACCGCAATAAAAAATCTTGATATAGACTAAAGAGTAAATATATATTATATGATGATGGTTGATGGATAATTTTATATATATATATATTTATTTAACATGTACAAATTTATTATTAGTTATGGTTAGATAAGATCATAGTAAAAATGCATTATATTCAATTTTGGATCCTATGAATAATTCACAATATCTATTAGTATTTTTCATTTTAATATATATCACATTGACGCGCTACCGAGGCATTGCCCCGGGCTTTACACTACGCGCTACCGGGGCATTGCCCCGGGCTTTACATAATAAAAATTATATGTAAAAATAGGCAAATGGTCATCTAGAGTAACTTCATCCAATACAGCCAGAAACGTAACTCCAAACTTACTTTTTTTGCTTATTACACAATTTGGCACAAGAAATCAAAAATTACGTGTTTCTTGAAAAAGTTGGTTGATAAGTCTGATAAGCCGAAATACAATGTTGCCAAACGGAACAACAATTTATAATTACAATCACAATTACCACTAAGTTCTTAAACTTTAAGAATTGGTGCACTATTACGTAGCTAAGTTAATTTAACAATAAAGTAATTATTTATGTAATAGTTAACGATAGTCAATATTTTGATAAATTCATTTTGCCGACAAAGAGAAACCAACAAAAGAGAGAAGATGAGGGTTACAAATGTGATTCTTCCTGAATAGCATGGATTATCCCGTCGCTTAGGAGGCGTGCCCGAAGGGCAGCATGGTTACATATGCCGTCGCTATACTGAGATCAAATCCCTCTTTGGAGCAATCCGAACTCTCGACAGAATATAAAGAGAACCGCAAGCTGAATTCTTGGTGTATTCGTTCGTAGTTCAATGAGAATTTAGTAAGACTACCAATGGAGTGAATATGGTTGCTAAACAGCGATTTGCATCCAATTTCTAATTGACTACTCAACATATAGGTATGCCACTTTGCTAAATTATTGAGCTTAAGTTTATCACTAATTTTCAAGTAATTGGGCAGATATTTATCTTCTTCAAATAAAATATGCACAAAGTAAAATGCTAAGGAAGAATTTCATGACCTTGTGTTGAAATTTGTTGTTGTCCACTCTTCCCCGTCGATGAGCAATTGGCCCCTGAAACATTCAATTTTTTTGTATAAAACATGAACTCGTGATAATTTGAAAAAGTGTTTTTTTCTTTTAAAATTAAATTGTATATATTAAATTTGTGCTTACTTTGTTCGTCTGCATTACTTGATTCAATCTCTTCATTCCTCTTTCGTTTTCTCTTTCCTGTCTCCATAACAATGGCGTCAAATAGGCTGTTATTTACCTGTAAAAAGTATAGGCCGATGCATTTAGGTCAAGGGTGTGTTGGTCGACGTTTTTTAACTGATATATGTGGTAGGAGAGTCCTGGTGACAGAACGAGCTTTGTTGGTATTTGATCATTATCCTAATCAGTTTTAAATTTATCAATACCCAAAAAATTGGTGTTCGTATCTTTTAGTAGTTATTAACTAATAATAAAAGAATTTTTTAGTGTCCATACTAACCGACACTTAGTACTAAAAGTTTTACTGAGATGCCATTAATCCAATTGTGTTATGTCTTGTGAATTTCAAATATAAGTTTATTACTGTGTAAAAAACTAATCAAAAGAATATTTTTATTTTGTTAAATCTTAGATATATATAATGATATAGACTGGTGCTCCAAAAGAATAATGTGTAAAAACCATTTATACCTTTATAAATCTTATCACTTCGTTTATTATTCTTTGCATCAAATGATCTTTTTTCCATGTCCTGCAAATATTTAGTTTCATTCTCTCCTCTCTTCTGTTGAAATATCATGTTTTGTGAAATAATAGTCTAAAAAGTTTGTACTTTGAATTTTGATAAAGTTCTTCTCTTTTAGTGAGCAGAGTTTACACGGAAAAGACAGAAAGAGTTACTAATATCATTTTGTGACACATCAACCTTCTATTAAAACAAAATTGTCATTAATTTGAGATATTCATACACAAAACATAAGTAATAAATATATAAATTTGCTGCAATTTAAACATACCTTTTCATCAATTAAAAGTAGTTCGTAAGAAATAAATTGATTCGGATTGGACTGACGAAAATCATCCCAATGAGTGACCAACCTTGCGATCATATTGCACCATGGAAGATTGGTGAGAAATCTCCATTTTGTAGTCTAAATAATCTCTGTTTGTGATGTGTTAATTGCTATGATATACGCCCATTGATGCACTCCATCATTTTCATCATTTTCATTTACCCCAGTGCCGCAAAGGCTCCCACCTACGGTGGGGTAAGGGGGGGTCGGATGTACGCAGTCTTACCCCTATACTAAAGCACAAAGAGACTGTTTCCGAATGACCCATAGTGAAAATCCCGTCCAAAATTGCATGGACTGACTGTTGCTTCATAACAAAGAAGCGCAGACAGTTTAGTGAGCCATTTTGCTTTATTCCATCATAATTTCAAGCCAAAAAATAATGAATCTTTGGCTCCATTGCAAATGATGGAAAAACGCCCATTGCTGCACTAATTGTTTATTATTTATACATGTTATTCGATGGAGGATAAAGCAAGAAGTTTGAGTTGTAATAGACTTGAGAGTGTTTGCAGATAAAATCAGAGTTCTACTGGAGTTCTATTAGGCTTGTAGCGGTAGTTGAGTGAAGTTCTATTAGAACTGAAATTGGAGCATTCGCTATTTTAAATTAAATGCTCTAACAGAGGAGTTTTAATATAATTTCTTTTAATCAATAAGCTTGTCACACACCAACCTTTTAAAACTGAGCTTTACTATTAAAACAATGAGCTTTACTATTAAAACAATAGATCGTCAACACAAAATGACAATTTGGCACATATAGGTGAACAGTATGCATGCCTTCATTAAACATTTGCAACTTGCAACAATACTTGATTTTTGAAAATGCGATTTCACTTCACGAATGTACTGGGCCGTTTATATTCATTGGGCCATGTTGATCAAATTAATTAGATTAATCGAATGTGGTTAATGTATGTTTTGGGCGCTCTCAGGCCCAATTCCTTTTTCTTATCCTTTGCTCTTAGAACTAGGGTTTCAGACTTTATATACTCTTCTGCAAACAATGGTTTTTGGCTTGCAGCACGAGTCTGGTAGAGAGCGTGAGATTGAGGGAGAGGGAGCGACACTATGAAGACTATACTTTCTTCAGAGACGATGGACATCCCGGAAGGGGTGAAAATCAAGGTGCACGCAAAGCAAATTGAGGTCGAGGGTCCTAGAGGCAAGCTCTCCCGGAACTTCAAGCACCTTAATCTCGATTTCCAGCTCATTAAAGATGAGGAAACCGGAAAGCTCAAGCTTAAGGTGGACGCCTGGTTCGGATCACGGAAGAGCACCGCTGCAATCCGCACCGCCCTCAGCCACGTCGACAACCTCATTACCGGTGTTACGAAGGGCTTCCGCTACAAGATGCGCTTTGTCTACGCTCACTTTCCCATTAACGCCTCTATCACCAACGCTAACAAGGCCATTGAGATCCGTAACTTCCTTGGCGAGAAGAAGGTATTCAATTCTATAAATCTCTGCAGTAGCGTTACGTATTGCTCTTCGATTGACCTGTTACGATGTAGATAAATGCTCAAGAATATAGTTTTAGGGATTTTGGGTATTCCGTTATGCGCGATTAGGCCTTACCTAATTTATTGAATTAAGTTTTGTTAACTCAGTACTTGTTTATTTGCTTTGTAGATTGAACTCCTTAATTGATTTTTTAATATAGTGAAACACTTTGTTAGTAGTGTGTTTTTAGGAATTGGTTTTAGCTTGCGCGTGTCACTTGTTCTTATGGCCTGTATAGATTAATTTGCTGCATGATCTGCGAACAGATACATTGACTTGCTAATTAGTCAATGTTTATAAGCTGTTATTTAAAGTCCACCTATACTTGGTTTTCCTGATTATTATTGCACAAGTAGAGCTGTTTGAAGAAGATTTATCTGCCTAAAGTTTGCTCTGTTTTCTGTCAAGTTTATTTCGTTATGTGCAATTCATGTAGTCACGTTTCAAGCAGGACAAGTAAATCACTTCAAACATTTGAAAACAAGTTAATGGATTCCTTTTGCTGTTAATAATTTGCAAAACCTTGTACATTCATGTAGTTGCCTTAGAAAATCGCGAGGCTTACTCCAACATGACATTTTTTGGAGGGAGAATACCATGGTGCAACAATATAATGTCCCAATTGATGTATCCTTTTCTCTGATTTTACCAGTAACATTACCATCGCAGTGTTTTGTCTGACCAAGTATTCTTGTGTTGCCCTTATATTGCTCATGCTAAACTTCTGTAAATTACATATACAGTTTTGTTCATAGTTCCACTTCTACAAATAGTTTGAAGTCATTTCATCTTTACTTTGATCTTTTCTTCAGGTTAGAAAGGTGGACATGCTTGATGGGGTTACAGTTCTTCGTTCTGAGAAAGTAAAGGATGAATTGGTTTTGGATGGTAATGACATTGAGCTTGTGTCACGGTCATGTGCACTCATTAACCAGGTGAAATACCCTCTTATGTCAGAATTTCATGATGTTGCTAAAGATATTACCTTAGTTGTTGTAAGTTTTGGTCACTGATTCTGATTTTTGTCTCTACAGAAATGCCATGTCAAGAAGAAGGATATCAGGAAGTTCCTTGATGGTATCTACGTCAGTGAGAAAGGCAAAATTGAAGAGGAAAACTAAGCCACTCCTAGTCTTCCAAATTTTCCATTAAACTTCTCATTTTGAATATTTTCTTGTTGCTTTATAGACTTGTCATGGATTTATCCAAAGATTTTGGGGTTTCAAGCAATGATGTGTACTATTTATTTAGTTTTTCATTTTGTGTGGTTAATTAAATCTTACGTAGTACTAGTAATGGTGTTGACTTGGTTTTGTCGTAATTTGTACAAGTGTACAGCTTATGGTCGACCACTCAGTACCTTGTCCGGATTGATTTCTATACAATCAGACCGCAATGGTACATTGTTTTACAGCGAAGGGTTGTGTTACTTTTGGATCATTAGTTCACAGGGGTTAAGTCTGTCTGAGACATGACTTGGACTTTTATAAAACACATAAAAGTTGGACATTTATTGGATTAGACCAAATCAGAAAATTTCAATCTAAGTAAAACATCTCAATTATAGGTTAATCTCACGTTAATCTGATTTAACCTAGGGTTATTCACCCTCGGTGTCCTGAAAGATTGCCTGAAATAGCACCTTTCTTTCTTCTAATAAGCGCTGGCTACTGTATCTGTAGTTAAGGATTCTGAACTCTAAAGCCAGGAAAGTTTCAACAGTTGAAAAGTATTTTCTCCTCCTAAATTGTCACTGTTAAACACTTCAATGAGAGCTGATCTTTTTCAGTGTTGGTTATTCATATTTTATCATTTGTGCAACTTGCAAGTCACTTGAATAATTCATGTGCACGTAGACAAGTCCTCAAGTCTCTAATTAGGCAGATAATACATTTTTTGTGGTCTTTGAGTTTTAGAGCACAAGTCTTTCACGGCAATAAGCACAAGTGTCTACTGCACATTTCTGTTGCGTGTCTGGTTAATGGGACTCTTGACATTCCAATATTTTCTTCCAATATTTAAAAAAAATTATAGGTTTATTTATAAAAACAGAGAATAATAATATGACTGCGCAAACTTTTTTTCTAGAGAAATAGGAATATAGTTTTGGTATATCCTAACAATAAAATCGGAAGAACTTTACATGAAACATTATTTTAGTGGCAGTGCCAACAAGTTAGAGCCACAAACGTCTAATACTTAGGTGACAGTGACTTACCTTCAATAGAGAATTGGGCAAAACGTTATGCGGGATTGATTCATCTGATACACAAGGGAACCATGTGCACCCAAAGATTCAATGGTCGGTCACATTTGATTTGAGTCTTGGTGGGTCATTTATGTTTTTCTGGTTTGCCTTCTTATTATCATCAAGCTCACTTCCTTCTTCCCATTAATGGAGTCCATCAGCTTACTCCTTTCACTACTAGCCCTTACACTCCCAAGTTCAGTTTTCTCAAATGGAAACATTGGACCAATGATCAATGTATCCAAACACATCTCCTACCCAGATTTCAGGATCAACCAACACCAGCAACATGTCACTCTTCTAGGAAGTTCATCCATTTCACCTGATAAGTCTTGCCTCCAGATTCCAAAACCCTCCTCTGATCTCAAGCACTTAGCGGGCCGGGCAATCCATTCGGCGCCTTTCCGACTCTTTGACCCGCCCACTCGAACTCCCGCTTCTTTCCACACCTCATTCTCCTTCCAGTTCCAGTCCCCCTCAGAAAACTTGTCATCATCCCCACATGGTGGTCATGGTTTGACTTTCATCATAGTTCCCGATGAGTTTACTGTTGGCCGGTCCGGTCCGTGGCTCGGCATGCTCAACGACGTCTGTGATGACAACTATAAGTCTGTGGCGGTTGAGTTCGACACCCGAATGAACCCGGAATTCGGTGACCCGAGTGATAACCATGTCGGTATTAACCTCGGAAGCATTGTTTCTGTCACGACTGTTAACGCGTCCGATGTTGGGGTTGTTCTCGGGGATGGTTCCATTCACCGGACCTGGATATCTTATGATGGTCAGCTCCGATTCATCGATATCCGGCTCGGGTTGGACCGCAATGGGTATCCTTTTAAGCCGGTTTATTCCGGTACTCTTGACCTTTCTCCTTACCTGAATGAATACATGTTCGTCGGCTTCTCTGCTTCCACCGGAAACCATACCCAAATCCACAACGTTATGTCTTGGAACTTCTCGTCAACCAGCCACGCTTCTCTTCGGATTCCTTCATCCCAAACATGTGAGAATAGATTATTAATACACCAAAGAAGCAAGAACATAAAAGATGAACAAGAGGAAAAGTTGCACGAAAAAACTCCGACCAGTTTCTTGATTTTCTTGGCTGTGCTTATTCTCATGGTCGTGGTTTTACTCAATCTTTACTTCGGCGGTAGTCGGAAAGCCATAGACGAGTCCAGTGAAGTTCAGGGTAAGCCGGAGAAGCAGAAATTGGGTCCGCCAAACAAGGCTCGCCGGTTCACGTTGACGGAAATTTCCTCTGCGACCCGGAATTTCAGCGAGGTGCAGATTCTGGGAAGTGATGCGAGGAGCGTCACGTACAAAGGGACTCTGTTGCGCGGCGGCAGCGTGGCGGTGAAGCGGTTCTCGGCGAAGTTCTTGGCTACCGGCGGCTTCGACCGGCAGCGGTTGCACAGGAAAATTAAATCCGCCGGCAAGATCCGGCACCCAAATTTGGTTCCCATCAGAGGGTGGTGCTTCAATGACGAAGAAACAACCGTGGTCTACGATTACATCCCCAACGGCAGCCTTGACAGATGGCTGTTCGGCGGCGGGGTTTTGCCGTGGACGCGGCGGCTGAAGGTGGTGAAAGACGTGGCGGAGGCGCTGAGTTACCTCCACTCGAAAGAACTCGCCCACAAGAATGTGAAAGCCAGCAGCGTTTTCCTCGACGTTAGCATCAGAGCGGTGGTCGGCGACTACGGGTTCGTCCTCAGCTCCATCGAGTCGACTCGGTTCGAATCGGTGGTGAGTCAGACGGCGGACGTGTTCGAGTTCGGGGTACTGGCGCTGGAGATTGTGTCGGGTCGGGTCAGAAAGTCCGGCCCCGGGGAATTGGATCTGCTGGACTTGGCGTGGGCATTACATGAGGAAGGTGAAAAGGAGAAATTAGTGGACCGGAGGATGGGGCTGGTGGTGAGCCGGGAACAGGCGGTCCGGGTCGTGGAAGTTGGGTTGGTTTGTACGTTGAACGAGAATAAAGGGCGGCCGAGCATGGAGGAAGTGGTGGAGTTTCTGAATGCAGAAAAACCGCTTCCGAAGTTGCCGCTGGTTCGACCGGTTTCGTTGTTCCCCTACAGCAGCACCACGGGGTTGTGCACTGCTCACGCATGTTCTCCATTCAAATAATGACAGTGTGTTTTAGACGAAGAAGAAATAATTGCGTGCGAAATTGTAATTATGCGCCTTCCTCAATTATTTGTTTTCCAAACTTTTTTACAATTTTATTTTTTATTTCCATATATGTTTTTGCTTTAAACCTTTTGTGATTGATTAGACCAAAATTCTATGTAGTATTCAAAGGAATTAGTGTACCGTTAACGGAATTTTCTGAATTCGAGACTTGATAAATAAGTCACTATCAATAAATGATATGAAAGATGAAATGTGTCGATATAAATATGAATGATTGAAAAAAATTATTTAAAAATATTTAATATCATATGTTTCGATTTATTTAATTTTTTATTAATTTCATTGTTAAATTTTGATGTTTTTCTTTACAAATGTTTAGTAGTTTAATAAAGTTATTATTTTTAAAAATATTTTATATTATAAAAATATTAAAATTCATGAAATAGTCTTAGATTGATATCTTTCGATCATTCGATCTTATATTGATGTGCAAGCATGTCGAGTAGCCAACTGTCAAACTTTTCATATTGTTTTTTCTTTTCATTTTTTAAGTTAGGGCTCCATCTTTTAAAATACATTATTGATCCCATTAGTTTTTAAATGGTGGTATCAATTTTTAATTTTTGGATTTTATTTATTCAGTTGCAGTCAATTTTTAATTTTTGAAAAATTATACATACCTTTATATGATTTTTTTTCCAGTTGTGTCAATTACTCAACTCAATTAACACCACACACAGACTATAAGGTGGCTCTATCCCCGGTTACCATGCTACAATAGTCTCTTGGCTTTTCCACTGTTCTTATTTGTAGTCGATCGTTATATCTTTACTCAATGATCAAACTCTATATTCTATGTGAGAGCTTGTCTTGCTAGAAGGTCTCAAAGGAGTAAAATTAGAAACACAATGAAAGTAATACTTCAAAAGAAGCAGATAAGGTAATAGTGATGCATGTGATTTATTTAATTACAAGTAAATGTACTCTCTTTTTATTCCTCTGTCATTAACAAATTACATTTTCATAAGCTTCAATTTATCAAGCACCCCTAAATCTTGTGCCAGAAATGTACTTGTTTAAGTTACCCTTATTTTTATTTCACATACATTAGGGATGGACTCATAGACATAAAGTTGAATATACCATTGTGTAAACGAGGGAGAAACAATATCAAACACTCTTTTGATTTAAATTGACATAAACTAAGTTGTTAAGAAAGAACTAATTTTTTGATTTAATTTTTATCTGCAATTTGGTATGGGTAAATTAGACTTAATGAAGAAGACACTCAAAAAAATTCATCAAAAAATTCCACCAGGAACCGCTTCAAATGGCGATGGCCGTACAAAACCTCCTATAAAAGGGGTGATTTGCACTTTTTAGGTTAGTTCGAGGACTTATTTGCCCCTATTCCCAAAAATCTAATTGTCGAGACAACATGAGTAATAGAATGTTGGAATATGAGATCTAGGGAGAGAACAAGAGAGGAAGAGAGAAAGTAGTATTGCATTAATAACATGGTTCAACTTCTTCCATCTATTTTGTTTAATCGATTAGTCAGTGAGATCACTTCAATAGTCTAAAACTCTAAATTCCTCCTTTAATTAGAAATCTCTTGGAGGTATTGGTCTTACCAAGGCCTCCCTTCCATTTTATTATTGGAGGTTTGAACTTGAGTTTGGTGCTCATTAATACTCCCAGTTTGTTTGTGCTAGTTGCTTTGTATATTTGTAGCCTTATAAATATTTAAATTGTTTTTTCAGTGAAATTTACATTTTCTTTTGTTGATTGTTTTTCTCTGTGAAATGTCTGCTTATAATCAGTATGGTATGACTCCATTTAATGGAAAATCTGATTTTAGCATTTGGAAGCAAAATATTAAATGTATTTTAATTCAACAAAAATGTTTTAAAACAGTTGGTGAGATCTATTTAATTTCTGACAAAGAAGATAAAAGGGCTGAAATGAATGAAAATGCATATTCTGTGATTTATTTGAACTTATCTGACTCGGTTATTAGAAAAGTTGGAATTTTAGAGAGTGCTAAAATTCTATGAAATAAATGAGATGAACTGTATACTGAAACCTCTTTGCCTAGCCGAATGTTTTTACTTGAAAAGTTCTTCAAATTTAGACTGGATATGTCCAAGGATATTGAGGAAAATCTAGATGTTTTTACCAAACTTATTTCTGATATTAAGTTGTGTAGTGATAAGCATATAGATGATTATTCCCCTATTACTCTTTTAAATGATATTCCTAATTCCTTTAGTGATATGAAATCTACTATTGAGTATGGTAGAGATAATGTGGCTCTTGACATTGTGGTTAATGGTCTTAAGAGTAAGGAATTAGATTTAAAACATATGGGTGAGGGTAGAATGTCTGAGAAGGGTATACAT